TTTACAATATATGCACTGTGCCGTCTTCCTTTATCCGACCTCTCTCGCTCTCTCTCTCTATCTCTCTCTCTCTCTCTCCCTCTTTTACAAACACACCGACGCGGCACCGCGCGCGCACAGTCTTCTCTCTCTCATCTCTGCTCTTCTCTCCTCCTCTCCTCTCTCTCCTCTCTCTCCTCCTCTGCTCTCTCTCCTCTCTTGCTCTCTGCTCTCTCTTCACACACACACACTCGTAGCCTCTCTCTCTCTCTCTTTCTCTCTAACCACACAGCCTCTGCATCTCTTTTCTCTCTCTCACTCTTCTCTCTCCTCTCTCTCTCGCGGTCAATCATTAGTAAAAAATTGTAGTGAATATTCATTTTTTTAAGACGTTTGCAATGTGCCCGTTGTCTTCAACAGTTTTGTACGGTCAAGACGTGCGTCAGAGCCACAATCACACAATTTATTCTCTGTTATTGTTGGACGCCCGAATGCGTGATTGATCAGGCGAGGGGTGCATGTAAGAGGGAGAACATTTTCTTTGTGGTTCGCGAAAAACACAATTTCACTTGACCAATTTCATGGGTCCATTTCAATTGGAAGCTTTCATAATGGACCCCAACAGCCCTTTGCTGACTAGTCAAGAATTCAATTTCTGCTATATTGCTCTTTTAGCCGCCGATAGTTCTTATTTAGAACAAAGTCTTTATTTTTATCTTCGATAAACTACAGAGCATTCCGCTGACCGCTGGTGGTGGAGACTGCCCGGGCTAGAATTTGGCGCACGTCTTCCACTCGGACAGCGCTTCTATAATTTGAACATCCCGCAGTCCGCGTGCGCATATCGCGGAACGTGCGCGGTCTCATCCGGGGGCGCGTCTAGGATAAGCAAGCGGTGCACGCAATTTGTATCATGTTCTCTCTTGGATAAACAGACACTTGGTTTTTGGTCATTAATATGTTATACGCAGTGGCGCCACAGATATGGTGTGAATTCGCTGCTGGCTTTGCACGGCGTTTCAACATCTCGATCGGACTGTGTCATTTTAGCCAGGGAATCTGGTAGCACCGGAAATCATCTCTAAGGAAGACAGAGCGACGCTCGAGGCTCCGCTCACGGCACGATCGTGTGAAGAAGTCGTGTAATCTGTATGCTCTAATACACATTAGCTGTTGCTGTTTCATCGCACAAGGACCCGTCGTGGGAAGACTCGTGTTACACAGTCAATTTCAACACCCTGTTTTTGTTGCCAAGCTAGTTTACTAGAATATCTGTTGGCAATGTATTTTAGCTAGGAGGGGTTAAAACTGTTGAATTTTAAGACTTATGTAAATGCCTGTTGTACTAGAGATAAAGCATTAGTAATTAGATATAAATATAGAGTATAGTATAGATCTATAGATATAAGATATAGATATAAGTAATCAGATATAGATATAAGATATAGATATAGATATAGATATAGATATAGATCAGATATACGTTGATATTAGATTAACATAGAGATATAGATAATAGATATAGATATAGCTTAGTTAGAGCTATAGATTAGATTAGATATAGATCATAATATAGATTCTGATATAGATTAGATTAGATTAGATATAGATATAGATTATAATATAGATTAGATATAGATTAAAGAATATGATCAATAGGTCTTGTACACAGACATCGTGGACACGCACGCATACACTTCTAACGGGATAGTGATTACCGCTCACGGCACCTAGCACACGTGAGCTGTCCTCTCACTGCCAGTAATGTAAACGTACCATCCGGGAACCAATATGCGAATGGGGAATTTAAAAGGGAGCTTTTATCATTTGATGAATTTCTTAAGAGCCCGCTATAGAGACACCCCACGGAAAACTACCAACGCTGGACATCGAGCCAGGCCATGCAGATTTACTTGCACGCTTGATCACAGAATGATCGTTGTATGCTATTATGCCATGTATTACGTCGATATTCACCTTCCACGAGGAATATGGTTGTCGCGGATGAAAACGTTCGACTGTTGGTCAGCCAGTATTAACCATCTGCACACACGTTACAATTTGTTGATCGCCACGCACCACTTTACCATTTCACTTAGCACATTCACAACCACAGACTACGTAACATCAAGAGCTACATAATCGAAGCTGATGAGCTCGTTCTATAATAGAAGAGTCATCTAAATTATGAGCCTCGGGTGGTAAGATTCTAGAAATTGAAAAATGACGAATCTGACCAGTACGAATTTTAATCGCCCACAATCAGCGTTTAGTTCACATTCAAACTAAAGATTGCATTACTAGGCCACAGACGTAACGAGTAGAAAACCTAAAGAAGATTATTGACTTTCCCATGTGCGGCGCCACCGAAGATTGCAATTTGTAGTTTATACGTGAGACCCAGACAGAATTTCAGCTTACTCTGATCGCATAGCAAGTATACCCCGGCATATTGTAACATGTCTAGGTACGCACATCTGCCACACACTACCACTTACGCGTACCGGATGAGCAATTTATTGGTGCCTCGATCACCAGCAATAAATTAATTAGTGGACGATGACATCGAGAGAGTGACTAATGTAGCGCGCGAATCATATTTAACGGAGGGACCGAATTACGTGAACGAGACCAACTTCATACGAGTACCAATGCCAGTTCGACAGCCTGAACGCTGTATCCACGAACTACCTGATTGCACGACTGATGTCTTAAATTACGCTAGACCGTCAGTTACAACCTACCCCCATTACACACCTACATCCACTATACCTACCCACCCCTTATACCTACCACCCACCCAACCTGTCATCCCACACTGTCATCCACGATACTCCACCCGTACAACCCCTACCATCTCCCGTACTACCTACACCCATACAACCCTTCCACTCACTCATAACATCACCACCCATACAACCCTACCTCCACTACATACCTACCACCCGTTACAACTACCATCCACTTACTACCTATCCACCCTACAACCTACCATCCACTACTACCTACCACCCATTACACTACCATCAACGTGTAACTACCTAGCTCGAACCCGGTATGCAAGTGAATATTTACGGCAATCAGCAGAGCGCCCCGTTGCGCAATCGTGTACGCAAGTTGCGCGGTTACTGTGTGAGTGGATGCGTAGCCTGGAGGCTAGGCGACCGGTTCCGGACGCGTACGGTGACGTACCCACTGCGTAAAATAAAAATATGATGACGCATGACGGGCAATTTTCTTGCTATGGGGTTAGAGTTAAAATTTCTTTTGCGGTTAGAGGTTGAATCATAGTTAGATGTAACGCCAACTCTATACATTAAACCCAACCCTAAACGATTCTATGGAAACAAATATCACGTAGTAACGGCCACAGTAGTATGCCGAGTACCACAAGTATTGCGTACTAGAAAACTTGGGCTGCTACATAAACGTACTGAAATAAAGCTTTGATCGGATTTGCCGCTTATGGCGCATTACATACACCGCAAATTCGAATTTATCCGGAAATCATAGAACGACTCGCATCTGACGGAAATCACCGAGTAAACGAAGTCAATTTCAAAATATTCTCGAAGCTAATTAGGTAAATTATAGACGAAATCGTCCTGTACGGAAATTCGACATGCAAATACTGACTTGATTGCTGCAATTAAATTTCTCCAAGACTCGCATGAAGTTATTTATAGGGCATTGTGGTCGAGGAAATTCCGAGATTGCAACCCCGGTTACGTGCGTATCATACCTTTAACTATCGCTGTGTTTTTTTTACAACAGGAATTCTATCAGCAATTGAGGACTTTGTCGAAACGACGCTAGTGCTGAAGAAGGACCGAGAGTTGGGCATCAGCATCATCGGGGGAAGCGACACGTACCTCGTAAGTAGGCCTACATAAGGAGATTAATGGCAAACGCAAGATTTTCGCAGATGCCAAATCGGATACCATCCAGCAGGGGCGATGTACCACATGGTGATTTTACGGAGGGAAATCCCATCTCTCACTGTGCGGGCTAGACCAATACAATACACGCCGTGCCGACCAATACGTATAGGTACGCAGCGAACTCACTAGCCGAGGCCCACGATAGATAACGAAATCAACAAGGTAGGCTGATAACTCACCACTAGCTATGAGTGCGACAGTGTATCCACCCGATGGGTTACAAGCTGCTAGCGTACTCATCATGTAAACAGCGAGAGTCGGCATATCAATATCCATCGGGAATTGCGATTAGTAATTTGTAGGGAAGCTGGAGTGATTTCATCCACTAATGTCAGCTATACCTATATATATAATATATATATATATATATATATATATTATATATATATATGTATATCAGATAGTTCAGTCATAGTGGAGTCATATTACAACGCATCAGATTTCGCTTTAGATAAAAGCACAAACCTCTTGTTGCGCACACCTGCACACCATTACGATTCCTGCACAGCTTCTAGGGAGTGGGAACGGCATGACAGCTTCAGTATTCAGTGGTAATCCGATCCAGACTAGATCAGACTGATGGACTAAACTGACTGGTGTCACGACACTTTGTCCAAGCTAGAACACCTCATCTGTAGGAAGGCTGAAGAAGATCGCGACTCCGATGACGGGAGCCGTAGGGAAATGAGAAAGTAAATGGTTAGTGATTCACTCGCTAGTGCTTGTGACATCCAACACTTTGGCTGCAAACAGCAAAGTTCCCGTTGGAGAAAATGATCAAAGTCTCGCAATCCCGCTGATTTCTATATACTAATATAGAGTATATATAGAAAGATATATAGAGTATATAGAGTACTAGTATATCAGCCTGTTCTGCTTGCATCTACGACAAATACGACATATGCATATACGCTCTCATATGACACTACTTGTCATAGGAAGATTCTTCCTCTGACAAATATTGTTGTATGTGTTGTGCGCATCATAGAAGTTTAGGAGCGCTATTATGAACGCAAGCAGTGAATTTCAGCTGTAAAGTGGAACGAAGTTGACTCGCCAATATTTGTCATAGGAAGAATCTTCCTACGACAAATAGTGTCATATGAAAGCGTATATGCGTATGTCGTATTTGTCATAGATGCAAGCAAAACATGCATGTTGAGTATATAGAGATCAGTGCGCGTATCACTTCGACAATCAGGCACCACGTGCACAAGGCAGCCAATCGTCGCCGGGAGACTATATATAGATGTTCACGTATTTATTCAAACGTGTTGTTAAACGGGATACGTTTGATTTTATTCGAGGGATTTCCCCAAAAATTATGATTCCGAATGCATTCAGCAGCGCGAGCGGTCTATTTCGTGTGCAATCGTGTGAATATAAAAGCATAAGCGAATCCTTCTTTTTCAGCAAAAAACACATTGTGTGGTACCCGTCTTTTTGCGAAAATATTTATGGAGAAATATTTGAGTTAATAAAATACGTCGTGCCACTACTTTGTAAACGGTGGCATTGCGATTTCTCAAAATAACTTATGCTGGCGTGTGGGGAACATTTAGTTTAATATGGCCGCCAATAGAAGAATGATTTGCCATCGTTGTACCAACAGCGACCACTTCAATCGTGCTTGGCGCGCAGTTATTGCAGCAGTAAAACGTACGCGCCGTCCACGAGATAGCTGTAAATCACGGGAAGCTCGGTTTAGGTTCTGTCGTTCTATCTCGTAACCAAATTCCGATGCCGCATTGAAACCGATGTGACAAGCAGCAACCCTACCTCCTTATCATAGTCAGACCTACCACAAAAGGATGTTTAATCCTTGAGTCGAGTCATAATTATATAACAATTAGCGCGTTCGAGATGCCATCGTGCAGGTTTACTTTTTAATACGTATCCTTATCACATCGCTGTCGCATGAATGAATGAACTTGGTAATTTCAAAAACCACTGACGCGCACTTTTAAACCCGATTAGTAAGCAATGCGTATTTGTCGATACACGGCAGTATTGCATGACGTGCAGTCGTATTCTCAGTGAGTGTGTGTGTTGGGGGGGGGGGGGTGTTGATAGCGTGTGCAGTAATGTTTGAATATCGAAATTCCCTCCGGGAAAATATTATTGCAGAAAGTTGCGCGCCCTATAAATTAACTTTGTAATTAATAGTGAAGTAAAGGTCTCCCCCATCGCTCTCTTTCTCACTAATTTTTCTGTTTTTCCCCTTTTTTCTGCCCTTTCTCTTTCTTTTTCTCTTTCTCCTTCTCTTTCTTTTTCTTTTTCTCTTTCTCTTGCTCTTTTTTATTTCGCTCTCTTTTTCTCTTCCTCCCGTGGCCAGCTCTATTCGCCCATTTGCATGCATTCGCTGTACGATCATACCGAATGCGTGGAAATCGGCGAGGGTATTATATCTCCGGGCGCGACAAATTTATCACCTTTAATTATCTCTTAATCGCCTCGCAAATTTCTCTTTTCTCTTTCATGTGTTTCTCTCAGCATGCCGTATGCGTCGACGAGATACACGACGATGGCGCTGCCTATCACGACGGCAGGTTGAGGAGAGGCGACCAAATACTAGCCGTGAGTCATCCACCGTGTGCGGGCCCGCTGCTTGCTTCGTATACTAACTAACGAGTATACTATCTAATGCGTATGCTAACTAACGCATATACTAACTAACGCGTATACTTACTAACGCGTATACTAACTAACGCGTATATACTAACTAACGCGTATACTAACTAAGGCTTATACTAACTAAGGCGTATACTAACTAACGCGTATACTAACTAAGGCGTATACTAACTAACGCGTATACTAACTACAGCGTATAATAACTAAAGCGTATACTAACTACAGCGTATACTAACTAAAGCGTATACTAACTAACGCGTATACTAACTAAGGCGTATACTAACTAAGGCGTATATACTAACTAACGCGTATGCTAACTAACGCGTATGCTAACTAAAGTGTAGCGCACACACCCGAGCAAAACACCCTGAACGACGAGCAAAACGTGTTTCGCTCGATGTTCGTGGCTGTGTGCGGATTCCCGAAACAAAAAACATTGCTCAGCTAAGCGTGTTTCGCTGAACAAGCAATGTTTGATTCGCGGAACGTGTTTTCGCCTGCGCGTACGTTTTGCTCGGGTGTGTGCGTCAATCGTTCTGCTACACAGCGAAACGCCACAGACGGTCTCCAATCAATATCCTTAAAAATATCACATGACACACAAAATTGGATGTCCATCGGATGGCTATTTTTGATGTCATGTGACAACGGCGCTGTACGCAGTGTTTCTGTATGTTTTGTTCAGCTGTGTGCTGTGTCGGGTGGCGTGTGTGCGCTTGCTCGCCGAGAAGAACGCGAAACGCTGGAAAACAAAATTTCCCGTTTTGCTCGGGTGTGTGCGCTAAGCTTAACGCGCATATACTAACTAAGGCGTATACTAACTAACGCGTATACTAACTAACGCGTATGCTAACCAACGCGTATGCTAACTAACGCGTATTAGTGTTCTATTGTTTCTGTACTAACTAACGCGTATACTAAATAACGCGTATGCTAACTCCGGATTTGCTCGACATCGACGCTTTATCACAACAAGCGACATGTAAATTAATCACGCAGCGAACACACGATATGTTTTCTAATGTTGTTTTTTTAAGCGGCGATCATATCGATTTTAGATTTTCACCGTCAGCTAATATCGTATATATATATATGAGCGAATGTGGATGTTATCCCGAGCGCTGCGAGAGCGTGGTTTGTGTACAGCGCGCGTACGTTATTGATGATGTTGTCGGTAGCGACGATTTGAGGATTTTTCTTCGCTTAAATTTAAATTTATACTCGACTTTTCATCGAGAGTCCAACGAGGCTGTTTGCTTTCGCCCATGATAAACGATGGCGAGACTTACTAAGCACGTGCTGATGACTACATCCATCAATCTCGCGTTAAATTAATAAATAATCGGAATAAGTTAACGTCCATTTAGAGTAAATAGATCCGCGCAGCCACTTACTCTAATAATACACTATAACCGGTGACATCACGACGGGATGTCGACGGGAAGCTATACCGGACCTCCGGTGTCATCCCGTGTGATCCGATGTGATCCGGTGTGACGGACTGAACCGATCATCCGGATTATTGATCATTAACGAACCGCAATATGAGATTATTTTAAGTTCGATATAATGCTATTACCTGATGACATGCACTAGGCGACGTCATTCCAGAAATCGGTCAGAGGGTGGTGGTGGTGGTGGTCCTCGGGTCTGCTGGGCTGGTCCTGGAACTTGAATGTGCTAATTGTCGCACACGCATGATGATGTATATGAACCATCGCATCTGTTCATGCTACCTAGCTGTGCCTTTGCGAATTTATATTTTTTTATCTGCCTGTCAAGGGAAGAACCACGGGGCCGATGTCAGAAACATCGTAAAGTTAATGTTAAGACTAATGTTAAGACTAATTTGGTTTCTGACAACGGGCCACGTGCCCATAATTCTTGCTACAGATAATGTCGGACCGTCATTGCCGTTAATCACGTGGTCCGTAATGGCAAATTTGCACGACATAACTTATATTCCTATGACGCTTCTCGGGTGGATGCGTGTGTGGGGGAGGGAAGGTACAGGTATGGACGAGGCACTGTAATCGATACGTCTTCCAAATCGGATTAATTTTTTTGGTGAGATTGGTGCCGAAATTGCATCCAGCTTTCCCTCATACACCACAATTTGCATATTCAATATTTAATATGCAATTCAATATTCAGAATCCATATTCAATTGGTACAATATTCAAAACTGGCGCATAGAGCCGCGGATGTCATCTCGATTCTTTTATATGCTGGCTGCACTAGGCTTACTGCTAACTAGGACGTGCCGACGTCATATAATAAGGAGCACTCGAGAGAATCTCTCCGACGACTCTTGATGTAAGGTAACGACTGATTTCCAGACGGACGTCACTTACTGTCTCAAGACGAGTTCACGCAACGGAGAGTGTACAGCCTGATGAAGACAACAGACAGGTTGTCGAACCTATTCTCTCAGTAACAACCTGGGGTCCGTTGTCAGAAACAAAATTAGTCTTAATGTTAGTTTTAACATTAGTCTTAGCATTAACATTAACCTTATGATTTTTCTAAAACGGTAAACGATAATTTTTCATTATATCTCGAAATTAGAAATCATCTACATAACGATACCCAGATCTTGATCCAATGCACCCAGCATTATCATGATTCAGTACACACGCACTATCATACAAGGAAACACCGACTCGATCATGAGTGTACAAATAAATCACCAAATTAAGTAAATATCACATAAAAGATCAAACTGAAGATAAGAAGAAAAGGTAAATAAGATAAAACCTCTATTTAGTGCAGGTACATTGTCCGCGTGTGGCTGGTGAACTGTCGTAAATTATCCTAAATTGTCCTGCGGGGGCTCGCAGGTAAACTATCGCGTATTGCAAGTAATTTGTCTCCGTCTGGCAGGTAAACGCTCGCCCATGGCAGATAAACTGTAACGATTTACCTGTAAGTTGCCCCCCGGTGATTTCAGGAAACACAGCGCGCATTTGCACGTAACATTGTAGGCCTACCCGTCTTGCTGGTACACTGCTGTGTGTATTGCATGTAGAGACCTGCCACCGTCATGCTGCTTCACTGTTGTGTATATTGCAGTTAAAACTCAATAGTGTCGCGCTGAGCTACGCTATTGAGCATTTCAAGTAAACTTATATGACCCAAAAGTTGTTCCTCAGTTCACAAGTAAACTGTCGTGTATCCTACAGGTGAACGGAGTAAGTTTGCAGCAGCTGACGCATGCGCAGGCGCTGGGCACGCTTCGGGAGGCTTCGTCACCACTTCGGCTCTCAATCCTAAGGGAAAATCCGGAAGCCATCTTCACCACTACCGAGAGTAAGCAGACTGATGACGTCACACCCCGCTTAACGTTTTCTCGCACTTGAAGTGACATTTTTACTCGCACTGTAAATGAGCTTGTTCATCGATTCGACCGTGGAAATTTTCACGGATTTTATTTTAACTAACGCGTTGTAAGTAGGAGAGCTGTGAGAGTTCTCAACGCGCTTGAAGTACGAGCATTCCAGAAGATGCCATCGCCATACAATTCAGACGCCAGATGCAGAGGTAGATGCATGACTAGTGGGGCCGTGTTCGCGTGTTAATTTAGACATTTGAGAATGTCAATTCGTTAACGTTAAATAAGCGGGGTCAGTCCGCTTATACTACAAATATACCACATTCAGTGCATGTCAAAATCCGAACGTTAACGTACCGGTGTTCATTACGCGATTTACGCCACACAACGACACCTCGCATCATTTGATCAGGTGAGATGGAGTTTTAAGTTTAAGTATATGCAAACGTTTGTTGTAACGTATTTACCATTAAATGTAACTTTAATCTAGCACCTATAATCATCCAGCTGTTATTGGTGTCACATATGCAGAATCCGGTGAACGTCCATAGGCTATATCCATCTTTTACACGCTCACACTAACGACCGAGAGTTGAGTCAAAAAATTATTTATTCGAATATATTCGATATTATTATATAATATTAAATAGAGTAAATTAATAATATATATAATTTTCCATCTTTCTGAGATGATGTTTCGGTTTTTTCTTTGAGGCGATTTCGGTTTCGCAGCGATGATATCTTTATCAGCAACCCCACCGAGTTGATCAGCCAAGCCAATATCTTGCCACTTGCGTAGAATAAACATCTAAATTTAATATTCGCTAACGTTTCGTTTGCACGTGTAATCCATCGGCGCCGCGGGACAATATTGTCGAATACAAATGTCAAAATCCAATTTAGAATCTGTGAGCAGTGAGGTGTGGATTGACTCTTTGCATACGATGAATATAAGCTTGGGAGGATGAGCGACACACGTAACACACCGAGATTTTTGCTTAACTCATTTAAATTGCAGAAACGACAGTGCGCAACATTATGTTAATAGAGTATGAATAAATAAATAGATATAATATATCAAGAGCGTATCAAGAAGGAGGGCGTACAACGGTGAAATGCTGAAACCATGCTGCAGTATTAGTCGAATCAATATATATTGCCCGTTTTATTTTGACGATTCTTTGTGGTATTATTGATCGATCAGCTGTCCTACCTTTTATAATATAAAACAAACCGCTTGTCCCTACGATGCCTCTACGCTGAGATAATGAGCGGTGAAAATCGGGTATTTTCGCCGAAAACCGACTCGAAATACGTAGTGGCTGCGTAATACCTAGGTATTATTAGCTCTTGATGAAATATATGAATATCTAATTTAGGTATACGGTTGCGTAATTAATTTAAATTAATAGTAATTAAAATAATGACGGATTTATTTCCCTGGGATCATTATGGAGTTTCACGTTTCTTTGTTCGATCACGAGTTGCAGTTACTGCGATAGCAAGCTACAGTAGAATCATTGGAGTAATTAGAGTGAGTGGAGTATGCGTAGGTAGAACCGCCGCGAGCCTTCGCATGTGACCATAGCAACGCATCGCATCTCCGTAGTATAATGAAATTTTAATCGGACTTTCGCGCATCGAGATTTTCCTGTTATGCATAGCACGCGCGATTTAAAATGCTTGCGCCCATGAAACGTTTTTGGTAAATAGCACGAGTAAAAACCATGTATATATGTAAATAATAACTAGCACTATAGGTCGATGTTGTCCTGGAAGATCGCTGTAAAATTTGTTACAGTGCAGCTATAAGTGTTTGTCCTAGCTCAAAGGAAATGCCTAAAAAACACTAAATTATCATTAAAATATTGAAATTATTTGTATTCACAGAATTTTATGCTCGTTTCCTGGTACGATTATTTTAATGAAACCTAATCAATAATTAACATGTTAATGTTATTCTCCCTTGGGGTTATCCGGCTCGAGTCAATGTCGTCAGTGCCATCAAGCGAAACATCACAAAACCCACGCAGTGAAAATAGCGCATACTGACTATATGAGCGCTTATCTGAGATCGTAGTTTGCCTGTTATGGTTATAACAGAGTTGATGCACATTTAGAAATGACAGTAGAACAGATACGAATCAGCTCGCGATTTGCACATAACCGCATAAAATACGCTGTTGTTCTCTCTGTGTGTATGTGTGTGCCGCTGTTGATCTCGCTGTGTGTGCACTGCGCGCGTGCGCGTTGGTGCTTCGCGGAGACGGGCTTGGATGAAGTACCTTCTTGTAAAAATGAGACATTTTTACCAATTCCTGCGCTGAAGCGATTTTGCTATCATGCGAGGATTTCGTACGCTACCAAGCTTGTCTCTAAATGTTGAATAAGCGGTTTATAGGCGAGCATTAACAGATTAATGTCGTTTCCGACCCTATTTAATGCGATAGTTATTATCTTAACATTGTTTAATTAAAACCGACTGTCATGTGAGCCGACTGCGCAATAAAGACTTGTTTTATATAATGACTATTCATATAAGCCCATCTTATAATAGTTTGTCGCTAGCTTAATAGCTTAAAATGGCATCACATAAAAGTCTTGTATAATGATAGTAGTTAAATTAGAATTTAGTAAGTAAGGTTAATTTCAATTCTTTTCTGCTAGTTATTACATTCATGTTAGCGATATTTACATCTATTGGGCATGCCTTTCATTTCTCTAAACTCCCCGGAGTAAAGCTACTATATCATCTGCCCCAGAGTCTATGACCATATGAATAACAAGTCCGATCCTGCACTGCGACAAGCTAGGTTTATTAGTTCTAACTAAGCCGCGAAACGTGTTATTAAAGAAGTAACACGTCTTTTATTGGCTTTATTGGGCGAATAGTGACTACATCACACAGATTTGAATAAAATATTCACATACAGCATCTGCGTTTCGTATAAAGTTGCCTCGTCGTTTTTAATTTGCCATTAACGCAACTTAATATGCCTACATTTCATGGATATTTCCTCCTGCTTGTTTTTCGGTTGCCATGGAGAATTGTCAGAGATTCGTACTACTGTATTTCTTTTAGCTGCACATCTCATATCATTGTGCAAAACCCCCATTGACTCTGTCCATAATACTGCATTTAGGGATATCTATGGCGCAGCTGGACAGATAGTAGGCCTTTCTGTTGCCGCGCGCTGCCTCTGTGCGTATATGATATGGATATTTGTTCTCTGTGAACTTACTCCAGCTAAATATCGATCCGCCATTATTGTCATCGCTATGTGGATTTCAATTTTCTTTCAGCGCCAAAAAAATTTGCAACGGTGGAGATAGCAAAGCCTAATCCTTTCTGCAAGTTCGGCATTAGCATATTAGGAAGAAAGTGAGTGTATTACTTTAAACTACTGTATATTACTTTTCCTTCATCGGTTGTCAATATAATAAATGGTAAATGATAAGATAGAGATCGATAAATGTATACGAGAGACAGAGATAATTAAAAGAGTAACATTTTTTAATTTAGATATGTAAAGCTACAAGGGATGTTGACGTTGGCTCAGGTGCTTATTGCGTTACTAACGTATTCCGTCTAAAAGTTCGTCATTATTCATTAAAACTTGTCATAACGAGATCATTTAAATTTATCAGACGATATTTTCCACCGTGTTTTGTCGATGCCTACAACTTCCCGACCATCTGTACAGCTGATTGAGAAATGAGTATCGATTGGTATCTCGATTATCTATCATAAATTATCAGAGATTTTCACGATGTGGCAAGAAGGTAATCTCAGCTATTGTGTTTTTTTATACAGGGACGGAATAGGCGTTTTCATCACGTGGGTGGTAAGTAAAAAGATGAAATAAATGTCCCTACTCCAATTGAAATAATCTATAAATCCCTGCAGAAATATTCAGCAGGTGTGTTATATAGAAATTGCACAAATATATGCATGAATGTCATGTAGTAAATCGGATAACGTTACTATACTGAACCTATTCGATTTAGCAGGCAGCTGTTTTGCAATAAATAATGCTGTCTTGTTATATGTACGTGCGACTGCATCAATGAGATCAGGTGAATAATCTTCGTTGGTTTTTACTGCTTATTCACTAGGTTAATGCTGCTACATACATAGTTGATACATCGCAATATGCGTCATCGCTTCGTGGTTATTTTCCAGCTATATATATTCATATTGCTGTTTCGTGATTAAGTTGCTATATGAAATATTATACCTGGATCATTCGAGGACTAAGTCCCTTTGCTGCAACATTTAGCCCTTTCCATCCGGCAGTTGTGCATCATTGTGCGTAATATTGCAAAGATGATATATTTTTACTAAAAGGTAATGTTTGCATGCTTGTGATACTATATTAAATAGACAATACTTCTGAAATCACTTCGATAAAACATAACAACATTCGATACCTAATAAAAAACGATATTGAACAAAATACGCAGTCCGTTGCCGAGTGACGTGGCAAATGACGTCACTCGTAACAACTCGGTCAATTCCGGGTCTATAATCTCCGTATAACACAACTTGCAGTAGCCGGAAATACTCGAATTTGCTGCGCACGATTCATTGCAAAAACTGAAAATTCACTAATCCACGAAGAAATACTGGAGAAAATTGTGTATAATGACGTCTGATTTGCAGTGGTTCTGACTCCCAAGCACGTGAATTCAGCAAGAATCCCCGTGAACGAGGAAACGCCTCGTCTGAAATATAATCGCTCAAGAAATAGACGTTGCCACATTTCTCTACACACGATCCATTTCGTTAACACTTCATGTGATCATAGAGACGGTTGAATGATCCCACGCACGGGAGAGAGAGAGCGGTTGGGTGTGAACTTATTTGAATCGATGATGTTTCAGCAACCAGACAGTCCAGCCGCTCGAAGTAACAAGATCCGACAAGGCGATCGCATACTCGAGGTGAACGGACAGGACGTGCGACGGTGGTCGCAGAAAAAAGTAGCGAATCTACTCTGGGTAGGTCTCATCCCCCCTCTCTCTCCCATCTCTCTCTCTGTCTGTCTGTATGTCTGGCTCTCTCTCTCGCTATTAATCTATCTATCTCTCGCTCTCTCATTCTCTCTTAAATAGGGTTAGGGTTAGGTTAGGGTTAGGGTTAGGGTTAGGGTTAGGGTTAGGGTTAGGGTCACAATGCAGTGAATGCACCATAAAACAGGAGTTTGAGGCACGTGATTTGTATCAACCAATGGCAGCGCTCGTTAGAGCCCTATGTTCTTGATTGACCTAGGAAAAAAATACACGCCTCCGGCAAGTATCCTTCGCTACACTGACGTTAGTGTAGCGTGTGGCACTGGCGACCGGGTGCCAGTCTACGCTCACAGTTTCTTGCTTACCTTGCTACTAATTCCCGTTTTCGTCCTGATACTTTCTTTTTTCGGGCTCTAAGTTCTGTCTTTAGATCATTTAAACTCATTTCTACGTATTTCCTTTTGGGCATTTTGATAACGATGCGTATAATTTGCGTAAAATCAAATGAAACAACAAACAGAGTTGAAGCTCAGCGGGATTTTGCTGAAAGAACTTGGTTGCGTCCCAACGCCACCTGGTTTTTTAGTTCCAAAGTACCTCATTCTTGTAAATTAGATTAGCTTTTAAATGAATAAATAAGAAACACCCTCGGTCTGTAGCCATTGGCTGGAAAGTGGTTTTGCGCAACTTATCAGATCGTGCGCTTTGAGTGGCGCCACCGTCGTTGTAATCAAACTGTAGTCGTTAGTTTTAAAACATAAAAAAAAAATATTTCTAATGGTGATTGAACCATGAAACTTTTCTTGTAGCGTAATTATAACCTAAATTAGCTGAAAATAACCCTAGAACCTAGAGTAAACTCTACCTTTAAATTTATCGTTAAATGCTTAGTGCCAAGCTACGCCACTGATCGCTTCTAATTTATACGCCTTTATTCTCTCGCACCTCTTTAAAAAGCCCGCTGCACACACTGTGGAACTTGCTGCGCCAACTTCCACACGTGGAAAGTGGCTCTGCAAGTTCCACGTGTGCGGATGCAAAATCCATCGATCTAGGTCGTGTGGAAAATATCACACGTTTGATATCAGTGATCACTATATACCACATATCACCAATAGCAGGCGGTTAAGCGAGTCACATGATTTTAACATGGCTCCATTCAATGTAAACAAACGCTCGACACGAACTTGAGGATATATTTAGTGACGTTAGTAGTTAGTAATAACTTTTGAGGAAAAAATTACCTACCGTTCTATTCCAACTTTGTGGCAAAAATTCTTCGAGTTCCACTTGTCGCTTGTCCCTATCTTTGAATTCTGCAGTTGATACGTAACATCGTATAAACACTGATATTCCGGTCATAATTCAATGAATTTCTCCTCCAGCAGCTGCTGAACTTCTCCAACCATTCCGCAGGGCGCTGCCCCGGGCGCTGCCATGTTGAAATCATGTGATTCGCTTAACCGCCTGCTATTGGTCGGCTACAGAAGTGGCTGAGCACATTTACACACACACACACGCACACGCACGCACGCACACACACAGACACACACACGCACGCACGCACGCAGCAAGTTCCACAGCGTGTGCGGCGGGCTTTATACGCCCCCTTTCCCCCTCTTTCACCTCCTCCACCTCAACCCTCCTGTAGCTCTATTCTATGCCTAAATACGTGCGTGTGCGTGCTTGTATGCAGGGGCGGCGCCATGGTATATTCTTAGGGGGGGGGGGGCAAACCAGGGGGCGTGTACAGGATTTGTACCAGGGAGGTGGTCTAACCGTAACCCAAACTTGCGAGCACGGCGAAGGGGGGGGGGGGGGCCGCGACCCCCTGGACCCCACCCTGACACGCCCTGGAAACTGTTAGACTGCATACGTGTGCGCTGGCTACCTGACGGGTGGGGTCCAGAGGGACTAGATTCCATGATTTCATCGAGCTGGCTACGCAAAAATATTTTGCGTAATCTTTGGGACGGCAATCGACCTACACAATCGCAGTTGCGATTTATCAACGCAGTATTTAAGTAAATCTTGCGTACGATTTCGGTACGGCAAGCGCAGTCTGCCATTTTAGTTGCTGCGATTCATCAAGCCTAAAATTTACAGGTAAAACCATGCGTAATTTACACGCAGCTGACGAGGTGCCCGTAAACACTCGAAAGTTCCGCAGCGTGTTTCCAGCATACGCCCCAGCATGCATTCATTTTATTGAGAAAACATTATTAAATTACTACTCAACTAAAAATAAATAAATAATTACCATACTACACAGACAAGCGGCGGCTTTGACGCTTCTTTTGTCATAGCTTGGCATTGTTTTCGTTATAAGCGAGTTCGTAGTTAGCCGTGTACGTGAACACGCACTACTCAACTAAAAAAACAGGGGGTGCTGCAGCACCCCCAGCACCCCCGGCTAGTAAACGGCACTACTGCGTAACGCGTAACGCTATGGGTTAGGGTTAGGATTAGGGTTAGGGTTAGGGTTAGCGACGTGGATATTCGTCCGAGCATCGTTGCGCATCACTACGAAAGGTTATACACCATAGATTAAGTTGGGTACTATGACACGCGTATATAAGATAGCCGAGTCGGTTTAGAGTAAGTGTTACGGTTAGGGCTGGGTTAGGTTGACTGTTTGTACTTGTGTGTATATTTTGCTCGGACGAATATCCACGTCCTTAGGTTTATGGTCACAAGGCACCATAAAACAGCGTTACGCATTAGTGGTACAGCAAAAATAGACGCGGCCGGGACCCGCAGTCTGAGCCCGCAAGGAAAGGGTTTTAATAATTAGAATTAGCAAGAGCTGGGATTCGGGCTGAATCCTCCCTCTCCCCCGCACAACAACAGCATTCAGGCCCGTCACACTTGTTTTTCCCCCTTTTTTTTAAAAATCATAGGGGGCAACCGCCCCCCCCCCGTGACGCCGCGCCTGCTTGTATGTCTTTCTGTGTAGACACGTTCCTCTTCCTCCTTGCTCATTTTCGGCTTGTTCATCTTTTATGAAATTACTCGTATACTCTTACTAGTATTTGCTCTCTAATTTGAAGGACAATTTTGGCATAGAATCTTAGTATTTCAACTGAATAATGTTTTTAACAGCAGATACTGGACATGCATACCCACATATCTGACTAAAAGCTATCTGACTATAGGATATGCCACAGTATAGGCAAAGTAGAAAGATGGGCAAAACAAAAACTAAACCATACGTCAACACAAAGTCATAAAAATGCACGTACAGACCCACCGATTATATGACAATTATTTACTTGCGCTATTCATTTCATACATAGTCCACGACGGTATACTAAGTTTCTAAAATAAACCTTTATTAACAATAATACTATATCGTAAAGCCATTTTATTTACGGAACGTGAAAATTCAGTACTAGAAGTATAACAACACCGGAGACGATTTCAATAATGCATAAACGAGACCTCATTTAACAGCAAATGAGATTTCAAAGTTATACTTCCTAATGAATCTGCCAGAGCCACCAGAACAAAAGTACAGCTTTCTTGTTTGTCACCAAGGTTATTTGTGTGTGTGTGTGTGTGTGTGTGAGTCACGAAATCACAGGGTGACTGTTCTGCCAGATTTATCCGTTATAAACCGTAAAACATTTCTGATGAAAGATTTGGTAACATTACAAAAAAAGCAATATGTTCTACGGCGCGGTCGCCCCCCGCTATACCCGGCACGTAGAAACCCCGTAAATGCAGTAAGTGATTTAGATGATAGCACGAAATTGCATTAAACAAGCGAAATTATCAACGGAATTGCAATAATCGCGCGCCTACTCGTCTTATACCAACGCACCGTCCGCCTAATCCACCAAACTTAATTGCGACAACGAAAAACTGCTACTCGTGAAACGTAATGATCATCTAGCTCGCTCCCGAGACTGCAAACTGCATTTTCCGTTTTACACGCAGACGACGGTGGGGCCGATGGTTCTGCTACTGGGCAGGTTTCCCGAGCTTAGCGCATCCATACAGGCATACACGAAAAGCAAGATGTTTCCGTCGAGAGAGCGCAGCGGCACCTGGTGTGGGACAAAGCTAGGTTCGCCGACCTATCAGAACATGACGAGGCCGAAGCCGCCCGTGAGAATAGAGATGGTGACGTCTGACACGGATAACAGCAGTGATTGCTTACGGTAGTATCACCAATGTATTGTTACATTTACATTGTACATGTTATCAAGAGCTAATAATACATTATACAATTATCGACCTGTGATGAGGTCGATAACCGTTTTATTATATGGTTAATAAAGAAAATAAATTAAATTATATATTAATAACATAATAACAATATACATTATTAGTTCTTGATGTTATTGTGCATTGTACATTGTACATTTTACAGTGTACATGTACTGTAACACATTCCGGGAGTACAGAGAGTTTTCGCGCGTGTCTGTGAACAGCTAGTTATTTATCGGGATATTCACGAATGCAACCCACGAATACCACAGTCTGCACATATAAAGCAATTCACCCTTCTTCAGCTTTGATATATTCGGAAACAATCGAATTCACGAATGAACTTGAATTGGATTGAATAAAACTAGATGTATTCGTAACCAGGGGCTAACTGTAAATTAATTCAGAGCCATAGACCTGCTCACCGTGTCCTCTGAGAACGCAATATCTCCGTGTTATCACATTTTAGATAACACATGTTATATATTAATATGTAAATTTAATACATATACAGTTTTTTAATCTTTTATACGAGTAATATACTTTGTATTACTTCAGTAATAGAAATAAATATATTTGTTATTATTATAATTGAAGCGTCATTACCTTAAAAGTATAAAAGCCATTACGAATTAGTACCAAGCCATATTCGAGAACTCGTCTATGTGGAACGACAAAAAAGCGAAGTGAGCGCAAAGCAAGCATAACGTTTATTAGTGTATATACTATATATATAGTATATACTACTATATATATATATATATATATATATATATTATAGTGTATTTTGTCCGGGATAGCATGTACACACTGCAAATATTTAGCGCGCGTCTGGCTCGGACTAATTTGATGTAGGGTCAAATTTGCAGTCTGTACGGGGTATAAGTTAGTGTATGTTGTGCATGTTTATTAACATAACGTTGCCACATTAACATGCATACGTTAGTTAGTGTATGCCACAGTCAGGCAACGTCTTTAACGTCTTTGTCGATATCGTCTTTTCTCAGGGTAATGGCGCCGGAGAACGTACGCCTACTGAACACGCACATAAGTCCGAGCTTCCAACGCGCGCGCAGCAATACCGAGGTCGTCTGGGGTCAGAGGATGCGCAACTGCCCCGCCCTTCCGCTCTACAGCCTCGCGAAGACCTCGACGACGACCAAGCCCGCATCGAACCACGCCGACGTAGCTGCATTGTGATGCATGGCCTGCCGCCGAATTTTTTTTTACCGCCTTTGGGGGAGAGTTTCGTACGGTCGTTACTTGGTCGCCGAGCCGACGTTCGCGTAGAGATTTGGCGGATACGTGCGATATGAGAAATCGGCGGATGGTGGACTCACGACGACAGGTGGCGTCGTCGTCGCCAGCCGACGAGCGTGCGATGAAATGAGGATACCGAGGGGCGGATGAAATAGGTGTGTCACACCAAGAAAGGTCGTGCTTGCGCTGTGCGCGTATGTGTGTGCGTGCGTGTGTGTGCGTGCGTGCGTGCGTGTGTGTGCGTGCATGCGTGCGTGTGCGTGTGTGCGTGCGCGCGCGCGTGTGTGTGTGTGCGTGCGTGCGTGCGTGCGTGCGTGCGTACGGGTGTGTGTCAGCACGTACCAGCTATGTCGGGCTGCGAGGCGTTGTCACATGTAATGGTTTATGTCAGAGTATGACGAGCGTATAACGATTGCGAGTGTAGATCCCAATGTCGCTATGTGAAGCACGTCGACCGTTCTGTCTAGAACAGGACTACGCGATTACTACAGATTCATGCAGCGACATCTACCGGACGCTGACCGAAACGTAACGTCATCCTGCGTGGAATCCCGGGAAGAATTGAGACTAGCAGAGTAGAGGAGTGTTATAACTACTGCCACTGACCATACTGCAGGTGAAAATGCACATAAATACGTGCCACCACGAGGATATGTACAACTGTGTACGCAAGGTAGTGTCCAAACTGAGAGGAACGGATCCTGCTGTTATCTGAATCTGAAGATCTCGTGAGGAAGATGTGACGTCAGAGAGCAGCCGATAGAGTGGATCGGTGTGAATTTGTTCTCGAACAATGACCAACGTTGCGATTACTTTAATGCGCAAGGTTATTTCCTATATAAATTACAGAAATAAAATTCATAGCAAGATAGCTTTCCGCATTAGTAGATTTTGTCCTCATCAATGAACACGCTTCAGGTGTTGAATACTACTACTACTACTGGATACAGTCAAGCTTTTATGCGAAGTTTTACCGATTTTTCACTTTTATTCTTATTCGATGGCTAAAACTAGGTGCCACCTCTGTACATACTCATTTTTACTAGTATTGTTTATCGTTAATTATACTGAGTTTAAATTATAATATTGGTTATCATTCATATCTGCACTAACCTATAGCGTCAGCAACATTGGTGGGTAGTCAGCCTGGGTAATCTCACTGGAGAAGCGACGACACACGGCCCATGATCGCGGCAGCCATTTTGACAATATGCTGTCTGGAATTTCGCTTTTTTTTCCGGTGTCATTCGCAAATTCATCGCGTTATTTCACAGTATTAGCAAGCTTCGCAACGTGCGAGGTTATAATGAACACGCGTTAAAAACGTGACCATCATGACCTTTGTACGATCTCTCAATATACTGCGTGCATCCACGCGATCGAAACCAAATTGAAATTCAATCTGAATTTATATCACCTCTAGTAGGCTTAATGCTTCCAGCATGCTTCCTTTTCCCTCTCTTGCACATGTTTATTTTCCCTTCATTCGTATATTCGACGTTCCTACCGATCATAACGACCGCCTTCATACCCAGCTTCACGTATCATCTGTGATTCCCTCCAGCTTTACCGTGAGATATGCAGCAGCCGCCTGCAGTTCGCATTGCAGCCACGCACGCACGCACGCACGCACGCACGCACGCACGCACGCACGCACGCATGCACGCACGCAGACACGCACGCACACATGAATATAATAAATTTACGCCTTACGGCAATCAAGCGTAGCCAAACTTTCTTCGAGTGTGAGGTCAGCGTAGCTAACATTGCGTCGTCGATGTCAGTAGGAGACAGCGCTAGGGTTGGGTACTGAATGACAACTTCACGGTATTTCTCCGCCATGACAGTGACGACAAAACGAGCGCGTCAGCCATGCCTCCGCAGGAGTGAACAGAGATCAACCCAGAACTGAGAGAGCGAACAACGATTGTGTGCTGGTGGTGGAGATGATACGATACTACTACCCATGCTGTTATGCTGCTACTTATGGGAATCCCACGAATAACTGGTGAATCGGTTGCATTTCATACGCTGGTATTATTGGTGCTCTCCGCCAACAGTGATTGCAGAATTTATACGAAAAATCATTAAAGGGACAGTAGCCTCTAAGATTTAACTGCATACAACTGTACTTACTGTATAACAAATCGTCTATACCCACATGTATTTGTCACCAGATACCTAATTTAATTGTTATAATTAATTACACATCAACGCTACGAAATTTGAACGGCGCCATGACACCCGCGACCGTGCTGCCACCCCCAAAAAGTTGCGTATTTTACAATTTATTTTGCACGTTACAGACCGAGGACTAATCACAAAAGTGCAATTATATTTATACTTAAATGCTATTTAACCGAACGATATTCATTTTAGGGCAAATTTATCCATATTATAACTGAAACTATATGTCGTTTATAAGATATTACAATTCTTGTAAATTAGATTAGCTTTTAAATGAATAAATAAGAAACACCCTC